GACTACGGAAGAGGCTTTCGAAGGAGTAGCGAGTCTCAGACTTCTGGGCCGCGTGTGGTACGATGATGGGAGCCTCCAGTTCAGACGCGATGACGCTGCCGCGGTTTCCCAGGGTAAAGATGGTTGAGCGGTTCTTCAGCGAAGGTTTGGAGAAAAAACCCTTCTTGGCTGTGTCCTCAACACCCATCAAATCATCCTTGTCTGCCACTTCTTCATACTGTAGCTTCATCAGTCGACTGGTATAACCCTGCCATGTAAAAATAACAAGAAATGCTTTAAAAATGCTAACCAGGGGCCAAGATGGGAATATAAATCATGTATCAAGAGATATTTTGTAAATAAATATTTTACTACTGCAGTTAAGAATTGTCATTCAGCCAGTCTTTCCATCCTGACATCTGCTTAATTTTTGCCTTCGACTGAAGGCTATGCCTTCGGAGAAGGTTATGAAATCGGGTTTGCACTGTTTGGCAGATTAGGCACGATAACTCTTGAAGGCAAGGTCCGAGGTTCACGATTTTTGGCAGGCAGGTTGATTTGGGGGTGGCCATTGTCAAGGCTAAAAATGGGCTTCGTGGGGGGTTCCTAAGTCACTGTAGTTGACCTTGGTTTTTGGTGTTTTTCCTTGTCATCAAGATATCTCGAGAATCCTTAAATGTATGTTCATTATTTTTAGTGGGCAAGTTACCGTTGAGAATGCCGAGGTCAAGTTCGAAGATGGGCCCCGTGGGGGTTTCTATGTCACTGCAGTTGACCTTTGTTTTTTGTGTTTTTTCTTGTCATCAAGATAACTCGAGAATCTTTAAATGGATGTTCATGTTTTTTAGTTGGCAAGTTACCATTGACAATACCAAGGTCAAGTTCGGATATGGGCTTCGTGGGGGGTCCCCACGTCATTGAATTAGAAAGTACTGCAGCGAAACTTCTGGTTTTTAAATCTCGTGATATGGACGTGCTAGGGTCATGATTTTTAGATGGTAGGTAGCTCTCGTGCTCAGAAAGAAGTGCCGTAAGTTTGGGCCCCGTAGCAGCTTGTTTGGGAAATGCAGTGGCATTTGTTTGAAAATGTTTGAAGTAGGATAGCTCAAGAACCGGTTGACGGATTGTTGTTATTTTTGGTATCTCGGTAGCTTAAGTGATGCTTGACCTAATTTGCTGAATATTTTGCAAATTACGATCTAATTTACATAATTAATGACAGAAGTCTATATATTTGCTGGGTTCTGTGATAAAACAATTAAAATGGTGGCATATGTAATCAAGAGGAAGAGATTTTCATTATGTAAATTATGACTTAATTTGATTAATTAATAGAGAAATCTATATGTCATCCATAGTGCAGTAGACCTTTTTGGTTCCCACCTTCTACGGATTACATTGATTTATGCCACAAGGATAGCTGGAAAAAAATTTACCTCTTTGTTAGGACAACAGAATCCTTGTGGAATTGGCGAAAGTGGCGCTTAATCTGCCTTTTTGGATATAACTGTTCAAAAGGACTCCCCCAGAAGTTGGTCTCATGTGGATGATGCCCTATTGCAAACTCATCAGTGTCATGCCTGTAATCCTTGAACAAACAAAGGCCCTCTTTGTTGCCCAGGTCACCAGCTACTGTAAATAAACCCTCAGTCAGCTCCACATGCAAGTGGTGTTGTTCCTCTCTGGCCCTTGTGTAAACACAGATGTGGAAGTGGGTCACATCCTTGAGCTCTACATTATCTGGGGCTGGGGCAGGCAAGCAGTTTTGATAGCCCATGATGTAAACAGGCTGGGGTCACAAATATTTGGTGTCAATAACAGTCAATCGACAAGAACGGCCCACAAAATGCTACGTGAATTTGATTTCTGTTATGAACACTCCATTTGTTTTGCACCCGACATGACCTTTCGCTGGTAACTCTCCTGCCCTTGTGTAAACACAGATGTGGAAGTGGGTCAAATCGTTGAGCTCTACATCAACTGGGGTATGCAGTCAAGCAGTTTTGATAGCTCATGATGTAAACAGGCTGGGGACACAAATTTTTGGTGTCAATAAGGCCTAATTTGCATAAATAATGAGAAAAATGCTATAAATAGTACAATGAAATAGTGGTTACTGACAGGATTTTCATACTGGCTGCATTTGGAAGTTAAGTGAAGGTGATCAGTATTAAACATAATTTATTCAAATCTGAACCTTATTTGCATGATTTATGAGGAAATGCTAGAATAGCCCTCTTTGTTTAAGATTATAAGACTGTCATTGGATGGAAAATATGATCAAAGGATATAATTGCAAGTGAGGATATTATTTCGATAATCAATGTGAAACATTCATAATTTGTCAGTCGTAAAGGTTAACATCATTTGTCGAAGGCATGAGATCGTGGAACTCTAGTTATCCATATTATAGTGGCAAATAGTCTCAACCCTGACATGTATCTATGAATACAAACACGAATTTTCCTGTGAAAATTACATGTGATAAAGCATTGTGGAAGGCCTTTACACCGTAGAAGCATGACCAGGTACCTTGAAGTAGGAATAGTACATCTTGCTCATGGTGTCGATATATTCATCTCGACACTCCTTGGCCACGTGGCGCTCATTGGCCAATAGGAACTCATAGAAGAAGCGGAACTTTAACATAGCGTTTTGTGGAACCTGTAAAACACAACAGTTATATATATTTTGGGTAGAAACGAATAAACACTCAACATGTGTAGGGCACATTTCCAAACATCAGTGTAGGAGACATTAGTCATTAGGCCACAGCAATTTCATTAGTTGGTTCATGGATTCGCCCGCTTTATTTTTTTCTTTTTTCCAAAATAAAAAAAAAACATTTCAGCCTCTGAATCAACTCCAAAATGCTCCCAACATTTAACGGTGCACACCCCAGTTCTTGCGCGACCGGGGTCCGTGATAGTCCGTTGTAAAAAAGTGAAGAAAGGGTTTTGAGGGTCCAAGTTTGAGGTGACATTTCTCATAAACTGCCACGAAGTGCCATTAAACATTAACATGGCTGAAGAGTGTAGGAAGTGGTGTTTTTGGGGTGAAAATTTCTTTTGGCTCCGAACCTTACTTCCGGGTATCCTTGCGCGCCAAGTGTAATCCGCCCGTTTGACCTAGATTTCGCTCTGCGCCCTCGTAGGGGTGCATTTGCAACCCCTCGCGCCGTGGACTGTTTAGAAAATTACAGTACTAGAATTTTCTTTATAATTTACTCGAGTATAGTCAAGGCTTGGGTCTTTCTGCCAGCTGCAGCATCAGTCATTTCTGCCGGAAAATTTTTTTCTATGGGATTATCCTACGCGAAAATTCGCAATTTTGGGCATTAATTTTGGAGTGAAAAAAATGTTTTTTCCGTTGATTTTACCAAACTTAAAAAGGTTGAAGAAACCAAACTCAGCTGGTCTTGTAGCTGAAGAGATATCCTTTCGTCCAATATACAGTTATTCTCATTCCGAATTATTCCACGCCAGATACGCTCGCTAGATTTGAGGGTGTGCAGCCTCCAATAGAGAGTGGTGTGCCCCCTTAAAGGAGGTCCCTTTTCTTCAGAGTTGTTATAGTTTTTCCATGAATCAATGCAATGGTTTGATTAAAGGTTTGACGTTAATGTTTGAATACAAACTAGCCTTCATGGCTCCTATCATGCCAGTTGGGGCTATCATAGGATGTCTTGGTCTGTTTTTATTTTTATTTTTTTTCGCCCTGTCACAAAAAAATCCGAGAACCAACAAATCAAATTGGTGTGGCATTATTACTTCAAGAAAGAAGTCAATGTCATGTACGTGTTGAAATCAGTCATGTCTTTTTGTCTGAGTCTGTGTCTCATGACCTGTGAATCAAGGTCCTTTTGATGGAGTTGTCTGAAATTTGGCATGTCAGTAGAGAAGATTTAGGTACCACACACTTAAACTGCAAAGACCGCATGATGATTGCATTAGGCCACAGCAAGTAAATCTTATGGATGACATCCTCCGCAGACTCCAAATCTAATGCGAGCAGGCGAAAAAAAAAAACAAGGCGGCCCGAAAAAAACAAGCTTCCTACATTTTAAAATTTTGACTCAACCATTGCACAAATGTTTTTTATTCAGTGGGAGCATCAAATATACACAGCCAGTATCATATATCACTGCATCAAAGTAAGAAACAAAACATTGAATCAGAGCCTTTTCTTGTCTCCTCTCTTCATAGTTATTTGCCATCCACCATTTTCAGCATGTTGACCACTGTCACAGGGCAAAAAAATTTCTTGTTTTTTTTCCCCAAAATCAGGCGAAAATTAATGTGCACGCTGATGTCATCCACAGAAATTACTTGCTGTGGCCTTACATAGATTTGTGTACTATCCCATGGACTCATTTCTTTTGTGGATGGCATAAAAACCCGGTACACTGACCTGGTAGTTAGTCATGGGTTTCCTGAACTGGTAGATCTTTTGAAGCAGAAACTCTCGGATCTTAGTGATGGCCTTGAGCTTGAGTTTCTCCAAGATATCCTGAACATCACGACAGGCGACAGCCTCCTTGAAAGACTGCTCCTTTACAAAGTTGATCTAAAAAAAGTACAAGTTAGTTCACAAGTCAGCTTCATATGAGCACATTTGGAGTTCCCAGGGACACCTGAAACAAGTTTGCCACCGTTGCATTTTTGCACAACAAAATCGTATGCAAAAAATGTATTTTTTTCTTTAAATAAAGTGATGACAAAGTCTTTGATTGAAATCTAGGTATGCTATACTACATACACATGTACATTGGGATTGTTACTATTGGCATATATAGTTTAGGAAAAGATAACCAGAATTGATAGGAGCTAGTGAGGAAATTGCATTCTTAACTATCAAATCTGAAATACAAATATTTCTTATGTGATGTCAGGAGCAATTGATTTCAATTGTGCATGTTTTTTTTATATTGACAGCTTGTCAATAGCCATACTACATGTAATTATTACCCATAGCGAGAATGTTAATCCCCAAGAATGCAATATCAGGCAACACTTGCCCATATAATGGAAAGAGTGTTAAAAGCAAAACAGCATCTGTTAAAAAAAAAATTAAAAAAAGTTCTAACTCACTACGTGTAGACACCGCCATTGCCATTCAGCCCCGCAGAACTTATAGAAGACAGATCTAATGTTCATTACATTGCATTTGAAAACACTGCACAGAACTTCCGGTACAGAACTGTGGGTGTGTGCTGACCTTGTGGTTGAGTTCATGCAGCTGTTCCAGGAACTGTCTCTGAGTGACAGGAGCGTCCAGGATGGCGTTGACCATGACCTCCGGCACCACAAGTTCATCCACAAACTGACTCAACTCACCGCGCACTGCCTGCAGCAGGAGACAACAACAGTGTTTTAGGACCAATGTCACGGACGAAGTACAAAATTTTTGTTCTGCAATTCGGAAACGCTTTCTGCAAATACATAAGCCTAATAATATACTACAAGTACAACTGTGAGCATTATATATATTACATAATAAGGCCACACCAATTTAATTTCTTGGTTAACGGATTCGCCCGCTTCATTTTTTTCTGATTTGCAAATAAAAATAAAATTCAGAATCAACTGCAAAATGCCCTGAACAGTTGAAAACAGTCCTTTTCTTCCTGGTTGTTACAGTTATTCCATCTTTCAATGCAATGGTATCATTAAAAGTTCAAAATTCATTGTTTAAATTTTGAACCAGCCTGGTGTGTTGACTTCATGGCTCCTATCGTACCATTTTGGGCCATAATAGGATGCCTAGGCCTGTTTTTTTTTTTTTTGCCCG